CCTTCTCGCTAGCCCTAGTACGCAGACGAGAACAAGTCAGGATACAGGATACAGATCACGAGTGATCTGATTGGCTATTGAAACCTGACTGTGCCCGTTCACTTACAGCGCACAGGGGCCTGCTATGTTTAATCTGAAGGCCCCGAGCAAATGTAATTTACCTGGCAATACAGCTCGCTGAAATATGATTGGTTAAAAACTCTACCATAATAAATAACTTATTTATCGAGTGGCTTTCAATGTTATTTAAAATAACATTGAAAGCCACTCAACTAAGTGGAAATAATACAACGTAAAGAATACAGAGAATAATTTTGTTTACATATTTATGAAAATAAAATAACATAAATTATAAAATAACATAAAATACATAAAAGTAAATTTATTTTTCTGAGAATGTTTAGGCCAGCAGAGAAGGCCTTGCTGGCCCTCAGGGTCCGCCACTGCTGACATGCCATTCCCACGTTATTCAGTGTCTTGGTAAATCCTCTACACAACTTGACCAGTCACTTGAAGGGCACAAAAACTAATTGCAGACTACCAACTGTACCTGCATGTTGGTCAAGAGCAGCATCATTCCACCCACAGCTATGAACGAGAGAGCTGGGTAAAGCATCATGGACAGAGCTGATGAAAAAAGACAAAAATGAGGAAGGACAGAATATCTTTTATCTGTATACGGTTCGTAGGCCCACAGGCACCTGGAAGCAGCCAATGACCGCATGGGTAGCCCGTGATCGAAAAGGAGCTCACCAATGACGGGACATTGTTATTTCCTAGCAATGCAGTAAAAGTGATGATTTGAAACACTTGCAGTGATTAGAGGGGCACCATGTGTTTCCGACCCAGAAGTACGACAAAAAGATGATTTTAAATATGGGTATCATACGTGCAGTAAAAATGCAAGTACAGGGTCAGGCAAAATGATCTGAAACATTTGTTGGTTAAATAAAAGGCAAATTAAGTGAAGAAACAAAAAAAGTGTTTTTATTTTCGAAAAGTACATACAATGCCATTTCTTTTCATATACTGTAATGGAGTGGCGGATGGTGGTCTGTCAAGGAGGGGAAGCTCAATTTTGGCCGACATCATAAAATGTGTCCGTTTATTTATACGTGAATTCTACTCTCCGTTCCTTTTCAAGAAAATTGACCTACAGTGATAATTTTACAGTTTACCCCCAGCGAGTTCCAGGGACTCGCTGATCAGAAAAGTAGGAGTCCCGTGATGCATTTGGAGAGTCCCAAATTTTGAATTCTGAAATGGTCTACTTATTCAATTGCATATGATAATAACACAAACAACAACATATACCGCACATACAATTATAAACAAATGCTGCAAAAATGTAAATAATTCAGTAGCAGGCCTGAGGATTTCGGAAATTCACGGTAACTGTTTTTCAGTTCCGTCGGATTACCCAATGGGAAACCACGGTAACTAATTTTGGGTTCCGTAAACATTCATCATGGGAACCCATTTTTCTATTTTGACTGATATTCATAATCAAGAATTCTTAAACTCAAAAGTATAATGTTTCAAGGGTAAATGTTTGAAAACTATGCATTAACAATGAACATTACATCAGCAGCTGTGTACTCCAGGTTTATTCAAAAAAATAAATGCATCAAAATATGGTATACTCATATGCATCATGAATACAGCATACCACAAAATCTGAGTATTTTTTCCAATTTCACACTGCAAAAACTAATTTACTGGTAATAATTAATACAGTTAAGTATTGATGTGGCTTGACATCCTCTTCCGAAGATGATGCATGTGTCATCTACTGTCAATTTGACGAAAGAATCTAACACGTCATCATTAGTTCTACCAACAGTTAACATTAGCATTACTACCCCTTGTGACAAATGTATTATTCCTAAAGTTACCATGCCTCAACCAGTAAATTATAGAATAACCAATACTGTTTCATAATATTTTTCATAGCGATTAGCCTATAGAGCTAATGACCAACTTGCCTCGTAATTGTGCCTCCCGTCGTATCTCGCTCTCGTGTTCTGTGCATACATCACAGGGGAGTTTAGTGATACATCCTTCGGACGATTCATACGAAAAATCAGACTGGCATTCCCATTTCTTAAATGTCGTAATTAGTAGACCTTTGTGTTTTTTTCGCCACCATTTCAAACTGTCATCCGCATGATTCCTCAGTTTGCGGACTAAAATAGCAACCCGCATGCGCACATAACATTATCTGTTCCGCCCCCCCACAGTGAAAACAAAACAAAACGAAAGTAGATTAGAAGAAACACACTCACACACCACACCACAAACAGACATACAGGCACAGTGAAATCGCGTTGATCACACAGGAGAGATTCGATCGCGTGCAGTCAACTCGTGTGCGGTGACTTTTATGGGAAACTATTTTTCGGTACCGTCAAAATGACGCCACGGAAACGACACGCTACCGGTAATGATCGTTACCGTGAAATCCTCAGGCCTGCCGTAGTTTTTTTTTTGTTTTGTTTTGACTGAGAAATTTCCTTCGGTCCCAAAAACGCACATTATTTGGAACTGTGCATCCCGCGGGAAAATTATGCGTGTAGGACGCGGGACGCAGATGTAACGAGATGGCTGTGACCTAGTCATACCAACAAGGCGTCTTTTCCAGGGTCTTAACTAGTGTCCTACAACTACAGCAACTACAATAAAACCCACCAGAAATAAAAGATTAATTCGTCGCTAATCGTTTTCAACAAAGAGAGTGTCGCTAAGATGATTAGAAGAAGACTCCAGTTCAACTGAGAACAGAATGAGAATTGAAAGATGCTCCCAAGGATGCCTGCACCAAAAGAACAGTGATTGGCTCATTTTGCTGTCAATTAAAAAAAGATTCAGCCTCAGACAGATCATCCAATCATCATGCAGAAAAGCTCAGCGTCCAGGTCAGCCGATACACGCCCACTGTCCATAGACTCCCAGAGACGCTGAGCGTCCCGTGGGCGGGACAAAACCAGCATTTATCCAATGACTCGTCTCGTTTCAATGCATTGGGACAACCTAACTGAACTCTCTCGATGCCCAGCGTTCCGCGCTGTAGATGCTCAGCGTCCACACAGTTTAAAGCACAGTGAAGCTGCGGGAATGAAGAGAGTCGCGTCGTAACCAGCCGTAAGAACCTGATTCAGAACAAAAGTTGAGTGCGTTGTAGCGCATATTTAGTCAATGACATGTACACACAATTGTATGTGCACACCTATATTTGATCACTTATTTTTTGACATTTTAGGGGAAGCTGAGCTTCCCTTGCAGTTTTAGAGCAATCGCCTCTGCTGTAATGCCATTTTGTTTTGTTTCTCTATAATTGCCATTGTTTTTCGTTTCTTTTTCACTTGCTGCCATAAATTGAACTGGTGCTTACCAGTCCAATTCATGGCAGCAACTTCGCGCTTTCATTGTGGAAACATTTATCAAAACAAACAAATCTGTAACTGCAACACAACGAGCATTCCATTTCAATCTTGGTGGAAATCACTGTTCCCTCTAAGCATGGTTTGTGAGCAAATGCGCCCTGCCCCCTGCGTGTCTGCGCACAAACTATCTGAGCTGCGCACAAGGTAAAAATCCAACCAGGATTGAAAATAAAATAAATGCATAAACTATTCTGGATTATGCAACATGTGATTGGCTGTTCCAGGTGTTATTTGACGCGATTCGCTAACGCATTTACGTCATGACGTTGTTCACTGTAGAAAGGTCTACTCGGCAAAACGTGTTGCGAAGCTAAAGTAGCAAGCGAAAAAAGTGTGGAGCGAATGGAAACTCGACTACCTCAAGCGTCACATTCAGCACAAAAGTTATTTGAATGCAGTAAAAGTTGTACAACGATGCAAGATGGGAATGGGGATCGGTACGTTATTGGCAGAGAGCGCCAAAGACCGAGAGAAGAGTAACGAGCTGTCAATCGTAAACAAATCCAACCCAGAGCAAGTCAAAAATCCTCATCGACAATGTTGTACAAGCCATCAAAATGAATGCATCAATGCTGTCGGTCCAACAAATTCACAACCCCATGGCAAAGTATGTGAGTATACCAGACAGTTGGCGAAGTGAAAACTATGCTTTTGAATTTGTGGATTCAATCAATGCAATACTGTAGTACCGAAATAGACGATGTGCAGTGTTAAAGATGCACCTTGGCACACCCTTATAGTAGATAAGAGCACAGACATAACGGTGCACAAAATACTCGTCTTGTACATTAAATACAGAGAGAAAAATAGTTTCAATCATAAAACTGTGTTTGGTGGAATTGTCCAGCTGACAACATGCGCTGCTCAGGATATCGTGCAGGCAGTAACTCAGTTTTACTCCAAGCTTGAAGTGGACATACAGAGAATGGTTATGCTAACCTCCGATGGTGCCTCAGTAAGGACACTGTCACGTTGCAGTTCATGGCAGTCCAAGTCTTGCCATAATTTATACAAAACATTGTTAAAACAGCTATGTTAATATGCTACACTTTTGGTTACATAACTTTTGAGTTTTTCACTGAAAGTGGACAAACACACTTAATAAAGAAGTCCTTTGATAGAAACTATTGCCATAATTTTATTGTTTTAATGAAAACATGTAACTTGAATGTATATGATGCATATGATACTGCGTGACCACAGACACAAAAACAATTAGAGGGAACATTGGTGGACATGTTCCCGTACCAGTTCGAAACACGATCTTGTTATGGGTTACCAACTTCAGAGCGAGTAGATCTGCATTGAAATGGAAATCTCGCACCGCCAGAACTCCACTTAAGTTTTAAAACATAACGAAACAGAATGGCATTACATGTACTTTTCAAAAATAAAAACACTTTTTTTTTTCTTTACCTTATTTGCCTTTCACTGTATTTAACCTACAAATGTGTCAGATCATTTTGCCTGACCCTGTATAATAGACACCCATTCAAATGCATTGGTAAAACTGGGGTTGGGTGGGAGTGTAAACTCCCACCAAAATGTTGCCAAACTTCCAACATGCGTTTTACATGAAAAACAGGGTTGCTAAATGAGCATCAACCACACTGAAAAAAAAAAAAAAGATCCTTTGGATTTACTTCAAACATGTACATTGGTTGCGCGTGAAATTTTCTCGCGTTTTCCTCATAAATAAACAAATGATACGTTTTAGTTGAATACATTTTCAACATGTGCAACCAAAAATCAAATACTTTTTTTGAGTGCAGTTCTAGGGACGTAGTTCTCAATTTCAAAAGTGTTTGCGACCCCTGGCATGGATAATAGAACAATGTCGATATTTACCTGGAGTTGCAAAGGCCAACATCAAGATGCCCCCAGTGTGAAGAGCTCTGATGTAACACAACACAAGTCATGATTTGCACTTGTTACCTTTTGATTTTGCACGAAATGGCATTAATCTGTGTATCTGTGCTTGACAATATGGTGAGATCATTTCATCGAAATGAACAATGCACCAGGAAGTTGTTTTAACTTCAGAGAATATAGGTCAAACATTGAGAAAATTGTTGATGCTATTTGAAATATTTGATCTCAACACTCACAATCCAAAGAGGCGAGCCACCAAGGTCCCAAAGCGGTCAAAGATGACACCATTTAGAAATGTCAGGAAATTATTCATGAAGGATGCAATGGTGAAGACCAGAGAGAACTGTTCATCCTGACCCCTGCAATCTGACACAAACAAACAAGCAAACAACTTTGAATGGTTCAAAGGCAAAAGCCACCAAGCACCATTTAGACAGACGCCGTGATTATAAGTTTAATAAGTTTAATTGTGCTTAGGGATGAGCGAAAAGAAAAAAAAAAAAAAAAAAAAAAAAAAAAACCTGTTGAAGAGAGTTGATATCATGCAACTCATCGGTCAAGTCATTGCTCACGATCCTGTCACGAATGCTCCCCCCCTACCCCCACCCCCTGTCACAGAGCAGGGTTTGTGTTTGTTTGGATTCCTCTCTCATAGATAAACACCTTACACAATGTGTAGTCTGTGCAACAAGAGGAAACAAAACTGTAGACCAGTTCAAACTGTGTGTGTCAAACTCATTATAGTTCAGGGGCCACATACTGCCTAATTGGATGTCAAGCACGCTGGACCATTAAAATCATAGCACACTTACCTCCAAATTACAATAGGTCCATATTTTCCCCTCTGTTTTCGGGCAAGTAAATTAGGAAAATCTTTGTATTTAATGAAATATCCGTTTCCAAAATATACCATGAACAAACTTGGATCTCTTTTGACAAACAAGTGCAACTTGTATGTGAGTACTATTTACTCTACTCAGTGTTTGCACAAATACCAAATGGATCAAATCAAACCAAAACTCAAAATGAATACATCTTACATGCTTCTACTCTCCTCCTGGGTCAGATTGAGCCAAACTGTTTGTCTGGTCCTTCCTTGCTTCTTTATCACGCAAGTTCATTATTGCAGAGAAAAAACATTCTGGAAACAAATATTTTTGCACGACTCAAAGGTTTTCATGTCATTGTTTTTCAGTTATTGAAACACAATATTTCAGTGACTGTCAAATTATTTGGCCAAGATTACTGCCTATCACGAGGGCATGTCAACCACAGGTCTACATTTTACAATGAGTGCAGTGTGCAGGGGTAATAAAAATGACTCCAAGAACCCCAATTCTCTCATGACAGCCAGCTAGAATGCATTGCAAGATGGCAAGGCCCCATGTCTTTCAAAGCCAACGTTTGGAAGATATTGAATAAGTAGAAAATCCCTTTCATCATCCCGACAGTTCCCCACATTTCAAAGTCAGAAGAGAGAGAAGCAAAAACTGACCTTGGAACTGTGAGCCGTCACTATTTGTGGCGTTGACGCAAAAGGAGCCGAAGAACCCTTGCGACTTCAGGAGGAACTCGAGCGAGGGCCACCCGAATATGATTCCTGCAAAGAACAGACACTCCACCATGCCTGTGATGAAGCAGAGGCCTCGTTGCACTTGGAAGAGCTTCAAACGCAGTAGCATTGTTCAGTCTTCGTGCACACACCCCTGGCAAGGAGGAGGTGATGTAAAATCAGTTCTTATACAGCACAGGTGTCAAAGTCAAGGCCCGGGGTTCAGATACGGCCCACCACATCATATTATGTGGCCCGCGAAACCAAATCAACCATGTCAAGTTCCATGATGCTTGCTAAAGTCTGAACCAAAATTTCAAATTGTCATATGTCATCCATAATAAAATGATATTGCACACATTTTGTCATGACCAAGCCTTTATTACATTAATTGACTTCTGATTTTAAAACGAGTTATCCATCAATTTGTTGTGTGCTGTGTATGTAATATGAGGAGGTGATGAAACATTTATATGGTTTCACAAAATTCACCATCATAACGGCCCTCCAAGGGAAACCGTAACTACAATGTGGCCCGCAACAAAAATGAGTTGGACATCCCTGTTAAGCAGTATAATCTATTCTTTTTGTAGCTGTCTCTATTTCTCTGTCTTTTCTGATTCCACCATGACTAACACACTGTACTATGTTTACCATCTATACTGTTCAGCTCACATTTGACGTATTTTGACATTTGATACGCGAAATGTCTTTCTTTAACCCTAAAATGTGTAGACTTTTCTTAAAATGACCCCAAATTTGGAAAGAAATAAGCAATTAAACGTTTTTTTATTTTACAGGTACTACAAAGTTTGTGTAGATTGCGGTCAAATTTCACCTGGGGATTTTAGATTTCCCACTGTGTGTGTTAAATCAAGGAAAGAGTGGCAACAATGGGGATCTTGAAATTTTGAAACTGTACATGCCATAAATGTGTATTATTATTCTTTTTTAATCAACTCCATTAATTCTTGAACTCAAACGGATTTTTTAATGATTTTCTTTTTTTTTTTTTTTTACTGAGAGGAAAGGACTTACTGAGTGATCATTGGAAGTTGTAAATCTGATTGAATGGCCATGACATGTGGGGTCCCTCAAAGTTCAGTCCTTGGACCCCCTCTGTTCAGTTCGTGCATGTTAGCTTTGGTGCTTCAGAACACCAATGTTGGCTATCACAGTTGTGCAGATGACACACAGCTATATCTGTCAAGGTCCCCAAATGACAGCATTTTGTGTCACTGTTTAAAGCAAATGATCAACTGGATGAACCAAAATTTTACCCAGCTAAACCAACTGAGGTAATTGTTTTCTGCAATAAAGGGAAGAGGATTGTTGTTCGAAAAAACCCGGAGTTACTGCCTGAAGAAACCAAAGACCAAGTCCGAAATGTTGTGGTGCTCCGGGAACTCCGGGTCCTTGAGAGCCATTATCTGCCTCTTTTAGATCTTTCCCTACTCCACCACACCCGATTCAATTGAACATGACGTTTCAGGCTTCTAGAGAGCTTGCTGATGAGCTGATCGTTTGGTTGAGCTGATATGGCTCTCAAGGAACCTGAGTTCCCTCCCCTTGCACAAATGAATTTTTGGAATCTTTCACCACGTCAATCAGAAACAAAATCGCTTTTGGATTTGGATCAAGGATGCGGAGGCGTAATTTCCACAACAATGCCATGCACGGCTGTTTTGACGTAATTACGATGACATTCACTGTTCGTTGCTTCATTAAAAAAAGACACTACAATTAAATGATGAACAGAGACTTTAAATTAAGCAACTGGTGGCCTGCGAGCTGCATGTGGCTGCTTGCACTGTAAATCAGCTTTGTGCCATCCTTGAACGGTCATTTTTCTGCACGATAGCCCGCAGGTTTAGTACAAGACCCTCCCCCATACATACAACCTGTAGTGGTATGGAAGAGTGCAGAATTGGGTTACTTACTGTAGCACAGTGCAACAGAGTCTTGCTGGAGTAAGAATGGACAGTATTTGTCTCATTTCATTTCCTCAGAAAATGTGTCTCCTCTCCTAGATTTAAGCAAGTGTGCATGTGTCTTTGTCACTAAACCAGATAGGTGAGGAAATGTGTGCGTGTCTCCTTAAAGAGAGCCAGTGCACGTGTTGATGTGTGTGTGTGTGTGTGTGTGTGTGTGAGTGTGTGTGTGTGTGTGTGTGTGTGCGCTCGTGCACACGCATGTGATAGAGAAACAAAATGTAAACATATAGTGGAGCTGCTACCAGCTGTTTTATGAGACAGAGATGCTTTGTTTTTTAAGCTGTAGGTCAATTCTTAATCATTGTAATTATTGAAATTATATCAATTGTGATTTTGTGCCAGTCTGTGATTTCAGTCGTCATCCGTCAGCGGCCTGGGCACCCATCCATCACTGTCAGTCTGTCATTTTTGCAAGCCGAACCAAACTGAAGCTGATTTAACCCCTAAAACACCCAAGTGTTTTATTTTAAAGTTGAAAATGGCTTACCTTATTCAAAATACAACTCCACATTGTGGCGATGAGTGTAAATCCAATCCAAGCAGCTCACACTCTTACTCCTGTCTATAAATGCTCGTCGTTGTCATCGTCTTCTTTTTCTTGGTTCATTGGTGGATTAAAGCTCCTACTGTACAGGAAACGCAAAGCGTTTTCATATAGAGTCAGTGGAAGCAACCTTGCTTTTTTTCAGCCTCACAAACAGACACAACAGTACCCCGCCTACTGCCTGAAGACAGCTGGGATAGGCTCCAGCATGCCGTCGACCCCTCGTGAGGATCAAGCGGTTCAGATAAAGGATGGATGGATGAATGGATGTAGACAGTATTGTATAAAAGTGACCTAACTACGCCCAACAGTTACCTAAATATTTGCAAAGCACCAAAATACAGGCAGTAGCCTGGTATTAACCAATGCACTCCTAGATGTATTCAAAATATTTATTTTTAAGCGATTGACATTTTCTTAAATATGAAATTAGGGGAAATAAGCATGATAAATAATGATTCAGAATGTACTACACATAAAAATAAACTGGATTGCATGTTTGAAATGTTTTAAATGTGGAAACATTTATTTGTACATCCAGTATTTCACAAGACTGCAATGCCACCCAGTGGTACTCA